TTCTGATACTTAGACTTGTCCAGTTGTCCCCGAACCACTCCTTGCAGTCTTAGCTACTGAATTATATTTACAAGAATGTACATATATAATGTTATTATATGGCTTATGCTAAAATATAGAAGCAGTGCCATATAAAATGTTGCACTTCACCTATTAAATTTGTAAACAATTTCCCAAAGCGTGCTTGTCTGGTCCATATATTTTTTTTGTCAATTTGTGTTGTCGAAAAAGGATAATTTTGTAACTAACTTTGCTTCGTTATTGTAAATCAGAATAGGCATACAAATAAGAGTAATCAAAGACACCCACTTCAAGGGTATTCTGGTTGAAGAATGTCATTTCCCTAAGCTTCCCTCTATCCCTTTCCCTACCTCCATCATGTCTATAAATAAATACAACCTTCATTTGTCATTTTCATACAGGCTGGTTGACAGCCATGAATGGGTTGTTTATACTCCATCTGCAGCCATGTTTTTGTCTTATAATGTTTTTCTATGGTTAGTCCTGCCCAAAGTGTTTTTGCCTAATTTAAATCTCAATGTGGTTATCCAATTAATCATTTCACCTTTTTAATCTCTTAAAATTATACGACTTGACACTATGAGACCCATTTAAATGGAGCACAGTTTTGAAAGCATATCCCTTTTTATTTAATCTCATTAAATAAAAATAAATTTCCTTCTACTTTTTGGGACATAGGAAGTAGTTAGAATTGCTGATTGGTATACTATACTATTGGATTTTTTAGAAAGGATTTTTTTATTGATGATTGAAATGAGAGTACAAATGATGAAAACAGTGGAAACTATGCTATAGATTTGTTAATACATAAATATAATAATAATTGTTATTATTTATCATGCTTTATACAGGCTGGGTGGCTGCCATGAGTTTGTATAATAGCTTACCTGATGGTTCACCTGGTGAGTTGAAGAAGAAAGTCTACTTCTTGTTCCACTGGAGTATCTGCTAACTATCTGTGTGTTGAAATTATATCTCCTGCAAATGCATTATATTTAGGCTCCACTTGTTTCCAGGAATATAGGTTGTTTTTAGTAAATGTTTTCTGTAGACAAACAGTCCCCGGAAATTCAATTGTTCTATGTATAGTACAATGTTTGACTTATAATAGAAAGATGAAAATGTTTCGGGAAAATGCGTTTCCGTTTTATAGAAAAATGTTTAACATTTTCTTCAAAATATTAAAGAATCTAGGTAAATATTTTTCATTAGGAATGTTCATATGCTAAGCACAAGAACGTATTTTCTTGGAAAGTATTCCGGCAAACAAAGGAAGCCTTAAGGACTGCTGTTGTGCTTTGCTTTTTGTTTATTTACTTTTTACTATTTTTGCTGTGATTCTTTAACCACCACATGATTACAAATTTTTAAATGGTTTCCTCAGAAAAGCCAGTCATGTACACCAGAAAGAACACATCACCTTGGAGGCTTCCCCATCAGGTATGATCTCCTACATCCCCACACCCTACATTGGCTTCCGCAAACAAAAGGGAGAGCAATAGAAACAGTGGAGAAGAGTAATAATGTTAATAATACGGAGTAATAATAATAATAAGGCTCCATTTGTATCCAGAAAAATAACTTCGTGGAAAATGTGTTTCCAGGTAGAATGTTTTCTAGGGAAAATAATTTGTTCAATACACAATATATTGTTTGACACAACATACGAAACATTATTTCTGAGTAATAAACATAAACTTAGGGTTTGTTTGCAAATGCTTGTGCTTAAATAAAAGCACTTTTTGGAAAAAAGTGATTAGTAGTAAAAGTTGGTAGTGTTTGGTAAAATAAGTGCTTTTTGTGTAATAGAAAAAGTAAAAAGTAGATTCTACACAAAAACCGAGAAAGTAAAAGTTGGTAATGTTTGGGAAAATATGTGCTTTTTTCTTAGAAAAAAGCCACAATCACTTATTTTAAGTGATTGCAAACAGAGCCTAAGAAGTGGCTATGCGTGCGATAAGAAGGGCTTTGTTTGGACATAAACTTTTTCAGTTTGAAGCAATTTCTAATTTCTATAACTTTCTTTCCTTAGAAGTGGCTATGCTGCCTATGTGTGTGATAAAAAGGGTTTTGTTTGGGAAAAGGAAGAAAGACGTGTTAAGCATTCTAAACTTAAGGCATCATGAAGTAAACACACATTTGAGTTATTAAGCCCAACATCATTACGAAGTAAACATTTGTTTATTAAGCACTGCTTATCAACACAGAATTTGATAAACACCACTTACTAGGAGGCGATGTTTTTGCATTTCCTTACGTTTGATTTTTTCTGCCATTAGATGCATGGTGCAGGATTTGGGCCTTCTGCTGGGTTGCAAAGAGATTTCTTAAGCGAACTTTGGCAGGCTATGCCCAAGCAGAATTCCAGTTCTAAGTAAACAAGGCTTGAAACCTGAAATTGTCAGCATCTTAATCCTTCATAATGTGCAATTAGATGTTTATTGTAAATTACATATGCCTCGTTACTTCTGTTATTTTAAATGTATTGGGGAAAGCGGAGCTTCCTACCATTCATAACTCAATGACTGCCTCTTAATAAAACTGAAAGGCAGTGAGTGCTAGGAAATAAGGAGAGTTACTCCTCCGATCCATATTTGTCATATTTAATCACTTAATCCATTCTATACTAGTGTGTGCAAGGGTGTTTGAAGTTCTAAAATGATTCCTCTAAAACCATCTTAAAATGATTTGGCCGTGCCTTTGAATGACAATTCAGTAAAATACTTCATACTCTTGGAAAATTTCATTGGATAAACTAATAATCCTTAGTTTTTTTGGTATTTTTAAAAAATGGTTAGCAATTTTGCACGTTTCGGGAAGTACTCTGTAATTTTGGTAGTACAATTGTAAACCTAAGACTTATGTTGTCAATTTATTTATTTTCCTGGACCTGGATGCATGTTAAAATATTAGAGTATTGTACCTATAGTACATTATTTCATCCCCTTTTTATGCTTTAGCTACTCAAATACTCGATTGTAACATCCTAACGTATACACATGGGTAAAGTATAAAAGTATAATACAATTTGCTGTCTGGTACTAATGTACTATGGAAGAGTAATATAGAATGTTTGCGGTTGCTTTTACTTTTGAAAAGTCATTCATTTCGGATGTTATATGAAAAGCGATTAATAGTAAAAATTGGTAGTATCTAGGAGTGGACTCGGGTCAGGCCGCCCGGCCCGGAACCAGACTGGCCCGGTACTGTTTGGGCCCGGCCTGGCCCGGTACCCGGTCTTGGGGCCGGTTCGGGCCAACCGGAACCGCTCAACTCCCGGTGCGGGCTTGGTCCCTTCTAAAATGCGAACCGGCCTGGCTGGTTTGGGCCCGGTTCGTTTTTTTTTTTTTTTTCATTTTTTTGTTTATACCGGGTTGGGCTGGGTGTTATTTAGAAAATCAAAAGAAAATAAAAAAAAAATTAACATTGAAATGGAACCGGCCTGGCCTGGAATCGCTGCCTACCTGGGCCGGTTCTTTTTTAGCCTTCCCAAAGAAAAAGCCCTGCCAGCCGGCCAGGCCTGAACCGGAACCGGCCCGGCTCGGGTCTAAGCCCGGGCGGGCCAGTGGTTCAGAATTGGTGGACCCGGGACCGGCCCGGGTAACCACCGGGTCCGGGCTGGGCCTCTGGTTGTTTTTTTTGCTTTCCTACCCCCAAACCCCTCCTAACCATCAAGCCCAACCCGGGTGGAACCCGAAAAAATGAAAAAAAAAAACAATTTGGCCCGGACCCCGACCCGGACCCGAGAACCGAGCCAGTCCCAGTCCCGCACAGTAGCGGGCCGGGCCGGTCCACGGGCCAGGTGGTCCGACCCGAATCCACCCCTACCTAGTAGTATCCGAGAAAAGAAATTTGAAAAAGTAAAAGTTTGGTAAAAATATTTGTATAATAGAAAGGATAAAAAAGTATTTTACAACACATCAACATTTACTTTCAGTTTTTAGCTGGAAATCACTATTATGAAACCTTTTAAAAATTAATAGCTGGAAAACATTTTTTAAACAACCCAAAAACTCCCCTGATACTCTTCAGCGTGCCTCACAATTACCTGTGGTCCATCAATTAATATAATTTTTTAAGACTATTTTCATGGTAAAAACTAAAAAGTAAAAACTACATCAAGTACTGTAGTCAAACACCCAGGACAATACTCAAGCTAGCTAACTATTTTTTTTTTTTAAATATAAGTCTAGTAATCAAATTCGATTTAAGTGCAATAAAAGATGGCCATAATTTTCTATTAAATCAAAGTGTAGTATTCGAATATATGCGTTAATTGTATTATATTACTGGGCGATTATTGTTTTACACGGTCAATAAAAAATTAATAATCCTAATGGTATTAACTAGGGGTGGGCATAACGGTTTGGTTTAACCGAACCGAACCGTACCAAACCGAACTAAACCGAACCGAAACCGAACCGTATGCAATTTGGTTTTAGTTTGGTACTATTTCTTTCAAACCGTATTAAACTGAACCGAACCGAACCGAACCGAAACCGATAAAAACCGAACAAAACCGAACCGAACCGAACAACACACACACACACACACACTTTGTATTTATCTTCACTCTTCATTTTAAGATATAAATAAAAAATTTAGACATGAAAATGCATATTTAAGCATATACTCGTATTATTTTAACTTTTACACATTTCAAACATTCATTATGACAAAGTTAGCTAATACGACATATTTGTATTTATTATGGTTGGCGATATCAATAGCAAATTGTATTTATATTTCTATTTCTATTTCTGTGTGAGTCTTTGGTTTAGTTTGTTTCAATTGGTTTAGCAGGTGAAGGCAGGTTGTTTAAGCTAGGTTCTAGTATTTCATTTAGTTGGAATTTCAATTGGCAGGTTGTTTAAGCAGGTGAAGGCAAGTTGTTCAATTGGTTTGGTGAAGGCTGGTTCTAGTATTTCATTTAGTTGGAATTTCAATGAAAACAAAACATTCAAAATTACTCAAAGTGGATTGTAACATATGAAACAAGACATAATCATTTTCAAGTTTATAAACCGAACATCAAACCGAACACCAAACCGAACCGAACCGAATTTTTCCCAAACCGAACCGAAACCAAACCGAAATTCTTTTGGTTTGAGTTTGGTACTATTTTCCTCAAACCGAATAAACCGAAATCGAACCGAAACCGATAAAAACCGAACCGTAAACCGATTCGCCCACCCCTAGTATTAACCCAGCTTGCATTGGGCCACGGTACAGGTTGTCTCCCCTCCTCTGCCCCTACTCCTGATGTTACCCACATGCCAAAGACTTGCAGTATTTGCCAAGATGAATTGGAGCATGGCAGAGCAACCCGCACAAATGCAACCAAATAGAGAAGTGCACACCAAGCTTGTTTGGTTCACAAAAAATTGCATATCATAAAGAACTTTACACAATCATGATGATGAAGACATGCAGAAAGGTTTATACTTCAAATGTCAGTACCACAATATACACGAAAATAGGAATACAAAACATTTTAAGAAGATGACTGCCCGTCTGTTTACAGTTTTACACACAAAAGGAGATGCCTTCCAAAGATGGTCACTTCTTAAACCTGGTTGCTTTAAAAATGTTATCCTTGTAGTACTTGAGTTCTGCTATGCTCTCCTTGATGTCATCCATAGCTCTATGTTTGTTTTCTTTGCGAGGAGCCCTTTTGTTGTCTGTATGGAAAACAAGACAGCATTAAATACTAGTGCATAAAAAACCAATCAACTACTAGTAAAACTGTAAACAAGAGACATTTCAAAACAATCCAATTATCCACTATCCACCCCATCCATTTGACGGTACATTCATTCACTAATCTATTCATTTAAAAAAAACATGATAATGGAATAGGTCCAATCAATACATTGGTATTATACACATGGTATTTATTATGTAATCCATTGGATTGGAGTAAAACTATTCATGTTTTGGATTTGACTAGGCACGGGTTTTAGTGAACCAAAAAGCAAAGCATGAAAGTTTTAAGCGGCAAAGGGAGTGCGTATCAGTATAGCTTTGTTCAAGACATCAATATGTGCATTGCTTAATGATCTCTACCTATGAAAAATAACAAGAAAATGGATGGGTTGGAAATCCATGAGTTGAAAAATGGTTAATAGATGGAGTGGATGGATTTTGTCAAATGGATTGTGGACGGTGGGACTGTATAACAAATCTTTAATAGATAACAAATGCATTGCTGGTTTTTTGTTTTAATCCACCTATAATGGTCTGAATAAAATTTTATTCAATTCATCCATTTGATAAGTCTGGTTAATAATGATAGGAATTCACCTCTGGGGAACCAACGGAGGCATAATGCCTTGACACTGCTCACGTCAACAAGTACATGTGAGAAAAGATTAGCCAGGTCCGGCATGTACTTCTGCCATCCATATGAAAAAAAGAAAAAAGAAAAGAGCAAATTAGATATATCCTGTTTCACGCTTAAACTGCGATTTCATCTAGAAGCTTACGATTGCAGTCTTGAACTAAGAACTATATTCTTTACATCTGTATAAAATTTCTAGATGATATTCTTAACGAGTACAAATCAGATAGTACAAAATTTACACATACCTTCATGAACTGAAAATCAACATAAACTGAATTCCCTGCCAGGAGTGGTGAGTATGTTGTCCCGATGTTTCTCTTCACAAACTCAATAACCTATGGCATAAAACAAGTCAGTAAATTATAAACCAGTACAAGCGGTGTATATATGTGTTTACAACAACATCATCATTAACCAGTACAGACAGTGTGTATATGTGTTTAAGGGGAAAAAAGTTAAAGGCGATCAATGTAGTATGTAACAATGTTTCCATTTGTTTGGTTATTGGTGTCACAGAAATGAAAGGCTAAAGGGTCAAATAGGTACATGAACTAACTTAAAGTGTTCAATTAGCCCCTTATATAGGAGGTTCTGCCCGGCCGTCGTCAATTGGGGTGGTTTTTGGTGGAATTTTTTGATGAAATTTTTTGAGCATCTTCTTCATTAAGTCTAGTTTACCCATATCAAATTTCAGCTAAAAATTAAACCGGGAAGGCAGTCAAATGATTTTCCGAAATGTACTGCGCTCTTTAACTATGCAGTTATCTTCAAAAAATCATTTGACTGCCTTCCCGATTGAATTTTTAGCTGAAATTTGGTATGGGTAAACTAGACTTAATGATGAAGATGCTCAAAAAATTTCATCAAAAAATTTCACCGGGAACCGCCCCAATTGGCGACGGCCGGGCAGAACATCCTATATAAGGGGCTAATTGAACACTTTAAGTTAGTTCATGTACCTATTTGACCCTTTAGCCGAAATGAAATAACAGAGCTTGCCAGTTCAATACTCGGTGTGGCCAAATATACCTGCTTCTCAGCTTCTTCAATCGATATTGTACTCTCAAGCACCTTTCCAGTCAGACCTACATTAGGTTAAGCAGCTTATTTGCATAAAATCATCCAGGCTTACATACCTCAGGAACACTGCAAAATATGAAAGTTGGGACTTGGGAGAATAGAGGATGTTGAAAACAAATACTCCATCCCCGAAAAAGAGTCATGCTTCAAAAGCTTTTTGTGCCCAAAAAGAGTCCTATTTGATCAAACAAATCTACATTTCATACTATTTTCCAAAAAGAGTTACAAACTCATAAAATATGATAAACATAGGACAGTAATTAATAAAATATGGTCACCATATCATGAAATTTAAGAGTTATATCATGTTAAATTTGGAGGGCGTATATTGCCCAAGCATGACTTTTTTGGGGGGAATGGGGTAGAAGGTATCCTTAGTAGGGGACACATATTACAAATACACACACGCACACACAGGAATCGGTCAAGCGGCTTACCACTTGCTCCATGATGTTCTTGGCACCACTCTCCCATATTATCCAAACACTCCTTTGGTTGACTAATGACTATATCAGGTCCCTGTTTTTGCACACCATGGTATGTGAAGAAATATGGCCTAAGGTCCATGGCTTAGTTTACATAAAGTAGTGCACATTTGATGCAATAGACAGAAAATAGGATTCTAATCAAGTGCAGGGAGCATCAAGTGTAAAAAAAGCGATGGATAGTAAGTAAGAAAGAATTTGTCTCATGGAATTGGCTTATGAAAGTATGAGGAATGCATCTCTGTCTTTCAGATAGTGAGATAACTAAAGGCATGATATTGGTAAGTTTCGTATTCACAAGCAACATATGAGTAGCTTCAATTGAGTTTCCCCCATAGCTTTCAAGTACAAATATCAACTTTTGTTTACCAAACATTGCATATAATAAATACTCCAAATATTAGCATGACAAATCTGTATATAGAAAAGGGGTGAGAACACGAAGAGAATATCATAAATTACCTCAATTAATTTGGTCAAGCTTCCATCAGTGATCACACAAGCAATCTCCAATATAGTATCCACCTCAACATTCAAACCTACACGGGCAGCAATCTGAACATGAGACCTATACATACAAAGTTTGACTATGGACTTAAAAACAGTCACCCATTAAATGTTAGATAAAAGAAATCATGCAATGAAGAGAATCTGTTATAGTAAAATTGTTTTCTGTTTCTTCTAGCAACTAGCAACATAATTTATTACGGAGTATCTATATATATGGTAGTTTTGAAAACTGAAATATAATGAAGATGGAATAATACATTAGAAGACCTAGCAGAGTTTCTAAAATCAATATTAGCATAGACCAAGACAATGATGAACAGACAAATGTCCAAATAGATCAAAGGAAGCAATACTTGATCAGTTCCGGCTTAGTATTACATGAATAAACACGCCATGTGTAGATAACCATTACCAGTCATTTCAAGATCAATCCATACAAGTGGCAGCCTGTACTCTTCAGAAGCATATTCCACCTTCTCCCCTTCATCGTCTTTCCCTGTACAATTCACATACAGTTGTTGACTTCTTGTACAAGAAAACATTAAGAAACTCCGAATCTCAATTTTTAATTTTTCAATACGCAATCATCTTAGGATTTTTTCAATTTGACAAAGGCAGAATGCGCAATTAGCAAGTTGTGTGACTTCATTTCAACTCCTTCCGAATTTCAACAAATCCCTCACCATTTCCTTCGGGAGCTACTTCTGTCTCTTCTTGGCTATCCGCAACGTCCAAGCTAAGCATTGTAAATGCATTCGAGAGTTGATTCATTTTCAAGGAAGTAGTAGGAAGCTCCGGTACGGCGCTTAGTCGCGTTTGGGCGCGCCAGAATCGGCCTGAGGATGGTGGCGGCGCGGGGACGCCTACAAACCGTTTCCGGTACGCTCTGCAACAAGAAGATTCGAGCGGAATTTGGGGGGAGGATATGGAGAAAATTAGGGGCGCTTCGGGTTCGGGTCGGAACACTCCCCACATTTTTATAATTTATTTATTTATAGAACATGAACCTCTTTAATTTTGGAGAGTTCCAACTTACTGTCGTGTTTACTATTTTTGCCGTCTTCCATTGTTAATTTCACAAAGTCCATTTTTTTTTACCCAAGGGAATAGAGGATCATTTAGTTGATAATTTCTTTTAAAACTCATGTCCTAATGACTTGAATTCAAGAGATCAACTTAAATCACTCTCAATTATCAATCTATGATTGTACATGTCAATGCAAGTGATTTTAATATATCATCATAGTCGGTATATGTTACACGATCCCACTATTTATGGAGGCATATTTAACAAAAATAATAACAGTATCAATATAATAAGAACAATTTCAAATAGTTTTCGTGACAATAATTCTTGACTTTTAATCACTTCCAAATGAATGGATGAGATAACTTTTAATTGCAAGACATGATGTAAACAAGTGTGCAAATGTTTAAAGTACAAAGTGAATACTTAAGGAACAAAAATGCACTCTTAGTGCTAAAAAGATTGTTGAATTTTTCTACTTGTGCACATTTTATTTTGTATTGTGATGGACTTTTGTGTTTTACATGTGCACTTTTTGTATTTTCTAATACATTAGTTTTAATTTTTCACCTATGAAGCATTTTTTATTTGAATCAAACTCTGGTGTAGTATATGCAAAAACTCTACGTGTCACTATTAGTTCAGAAATGAGACGAGCTAAGGTATTTTAACTTGCCTCTAATTATCAATTAAAGAATATTACTAGAAAGTCTTAGCTAAAAAAGGATCGTTTTTACTGTAATAAGTGAAATAAATCGATTGTTCTTATGTAATTGGTTAAATTAAATCCAGATGTACCTCCTTGGGATTTTGTTAGCTTTTCACATGACCAATGCATGGGTTGAGGGTCACGATCTTCTCGTGGGGTGCTGACAAAAGCATTTCGGTTTATTACAAAAGTACCAACATATTCCGGATAAGTTTCAGATAAGATAAACATATTTTCTGGAAACCCCACCCATTTCTCCCTCTTCTTCCCGTCTTCAATCTTTTTTTTTTCTTTGCTCATCAAATCATCTTTGGGGTAAGTTTCTTGCAACACCCTATCATTTTTCCTACTTATGCCTCTATGCTTCTAATTTTTCTTTCAAATTTTGCCCTTTCTTTTCCCCCAAGTGATTAGTTCCAGTGGGATAAACTGAAACAGAGCAGTCTGTGGTTTGATTATATATTTGTTTGTTTATTTTTGCTTGTAGTCTTTTTGTGCTTCTGTACATGATCTCTTGTGCTAGATTTGGAAGTTGTTTTAGGCCTTGTGCAAGATACTGAGCAGAGTAGTTAGATTCCTTTTGTTATTTTTTAAAAAACCGATAACACATACCAGTAAAAGAATAGCAATAGTTGTAATCATAAGTCATAACAATAATGATTTTCCAAAAGTATTACCATTAGTTTACTCCTATATTAGCAATCAGGCTGTATGTTTTGAAATTAGGCCAATTTATAGAGTTACATATACAGATATACTACATAAGTCATACTAGTATACTACAGTCCTACTGTCCTAGAGATGATTGAACTAGTACTTTTTTACAAAGACTTACATTTTAAAGAATCACTCATCTTGATTAAAAAGTTTAAATCTTGACAGTTTTTTTTTGTTTTACTTTTTATATCTGACCTTCTCCTTAGAAACCCAAAAATGGAGTTTCAGTTTCAGTGTTTCATCCCTTTTCATTCCTTGGAATGAAAAGGGTCTTAGAGATCCCGCATAATCCCATGCAGTAGAGTAGTAGACCTAGTATGGCACATAGTTTACATAGACCAAATCACACTGAAAGGTAGAATCCAATACATTAGTTACTCTAATCCTATGTATAGTTGTGTCATCATTTGACTGGTGTATTTCATGTGTGGTTTGAAGAATACACTAGTAGTGTTAGTTGATTGACTTCTCTAGAGTAATACTTTTTTAAATAAAAAGATAAATTTTTGTTTGTTTGAGTTTACTTATCCAAAATGAATCTTGTTTCTCTTTGTAGCTAAAATGCACAGAGGAATTCAATCACTCCTTTCTCATGGAAGTGTACTGAAGACGGCTGCCTTAAGACATGTCCGTTTGGGCAATCCAGTGATGAATCGGCCGCTCATGTTTGCCCGTCACGAGTCAACTTCAGCTGCCCGGATGGAAGAGCACGGGTTTGAAAGCACCACTATTTCTGACATTTTGAAATCCAAGGGCAAAGGTGCAGATGGGTCATGGCTGTGGTGTACTACAGATGATTCTGTCTATGATGCCGTCAAGTCGGTGAGCCGCCTTTCTTTATGCAAATATGACTCCTTGCCAAAAAACAGTTACACAGGTTTCTTATGATGAGTTTTGCTAACCTTAAAAATATGATTGTAGATTAAATTATGATTAGTGATAGCTAAACCAAAAGTTAAATACCGTGCCTTGTCAAACATGACTCTCTTTTAAAGAAGGTAGTAATGCTTCGTTATGGGCGCAACATCTTTGTCATTGATCAAAGCATGATTGAAAAACTGTGCCTTGGTCAATGTTGGTGATGTCAAAGGATCTGTCATGTCAATATATCAACATGTTGCTAATTTTTATTGGCTTAATCTATAGATGAGGTGCTGTGGTAACTGAATTTGCCTCGGAATTACTCGAATATGTAGAAATATGCGAAAAACTGTTTAAAGTTTCGGTGTGCAGATGACTCAGCACAATGTAGGAGCATTGGTTGTGGTTAAACCAGGGGAAGAGAAATCAATTGCTGGTATTATCACTGAAAGAGGTAACTAATTACATGTGGGGGAAGTGGAATGATAAACCATGATGAAAAAAATTGTGTGAGAGACATGAACCACTTGTGATATGTTATTTGAGACTGACAGTGTTCGTGTAATGTTATTATTTAAAAGAGCTTCTGTATAGAGACCATGTGTGCATTTTTCATTCTGAGTGTTTTTTTCCTACACCAGATTACCTCAGGAAAATCATAGTACAGGGAAGATCATCAAAATCAACAAAGGTTGGGGACATTATGACAGAAGAGGTACATTTAATATGCTGTTTTTTTGCCAACCAAACAGTGAAATACTCTTTGTAGACAGCAAACACGGAGTAATGACTAATGATAACCATTTTCCATAAATGCTCATTTTTTGTTTTTGTTTCTGGTAGAATAAGCTCATTACTGTCACGCCTCATACCAAGGTTCTGAAAGCCATGCAGCTAATGACAGGTAAAAGTTCATTTCTGACCCCCCTGCAATCCATGCTAGCAGAAACCGCTAGGTGCCCATGTCGTGTTAAATATGCCCTTATGGCCCATACCCTCAAAATACACACTACCTCTACCCATTAAGCTACGCAAAAATGGACTGTGTCGTTGCTATTGAATTTTGTAAAAGTTCGCATAATTGTGAGCCACAAAATATTGTCAAAAATGATACGGGACGGACATTTTTGGACTGCCTTAAAACTTAGAAGGAAAGGGGATGGAGAAAACAGGATGGGTGGAGTAATATATATATATATATATATATATATATATATATATATAGATTTTGGTTCAAATGAGAACAACTCTTAACGTGAGAAATGAGAACTAATCCTAACCGTTTATATCAAGTCTTTGCTTCCTTAGATCTAACTTCCACGTATGGGCATTTTAGTAATGATTTCCGTTAGTTTATTATGGTAACTACTTTTTCCTTACTCCACAATAATGATTTCCGTTATCTTTGGGAACAACGTTCTTGTATCTTATCTTATAATATAATATATAATAATATAGCACTAACCATTGAAACATACCGATGATTTTAAATGCACATCCATCGTACCCATTGCAATATCACTATTGAGATATTTGAGCATTCGTTTGCTACTAAAAATTAGTTTTTAACATTAATTTCACATGATATGTGTTATTATCTTTTAAAGATTAGATACACAATCTTTCTTTCTTTTTAGCAATATTTGGATTATTATTTCTTCCAAAATAATTTTTAAATTTTTCCTTTGCACAACAATATATTAGTAACACCTAAATTCAACACATTTTTTCCTTTGTGACGCTATATAGAAACTATTATTTAGATTTGGTTCATGTGCGTAAGATATTGATTGGTGTGTGCTAGATACAAGTTTTTGTGTATCACATACTTTGTTAAAATTCTTGTTGATATTGATTCTTGTGCGTTAGATATTGGATGTTATGTGTTACATATTGGTTCTTGAGCGTATATGTATATTGTGCAATAGATATTGATTCTTGTGTGTTATTTACTAATTTAAGTTGTATGACATCTTTAGAGTGTTATATATTAATTCTCTTAATTGATGTGCATTAGATACTTATTTTTGTGCTCAAGATACGTGTTATGGCTTTTTATATAGGAACTATGTGTAAGATTCTTCTTCATGTGCATTGGACATTTGTGGTTGTGTATTAGGTACTCGCTCTTAGACATTATATACCGGTTGTGATTTATGTGAAATTCTTCATATGCATTAGATGTTGGTATTTGTGCAAAGGATACTAGCTCATGTTCTGTTCTTACAACAAACTTATTTTCAATCTTTTAATGCTTTTTACGCACAAAAAAATTAATGCACATATATGACTACAATATAGTTCCTTCCATGTTTAAGTAAAATCACTTTAGTAAATACTTCTAATTGTCCCTTAAATTTAGGAAGGTTTATGAAAGTGGGAACCATAGCTTTAATCGGTGATCACTAAAAAAATAATTAAATTACCATCATGTCCTTATTAATCTTCTAACCGTTGCATCCATTAAATCTGGCCATGATTGTGTAAACACATCCGCACCAATGGACAATACGTGGAATGTATATCTTACGTCCATTTATTAAGATGGATGACTAAGATTTGTTCTCATTTCTCACAATAAGAGTTGTTCTCATTAGAACCACTCCCTATATATATATATATATATATATATATTAATAGTACTTCCTCTGGCCCAAAAAAAGGTTCATGCTTTCATTTTTTTCCCTCCCAAAAATTTTAAGGAAATAATTTTGTGGTTCTTATTATTATTTTCTCTTCTAAAAACAATTTCAACCATATAGTTCTAGTTTTCTTAATAAGAGTGTCCATGTCAAATTAGGAACATTATTTTTGTACATAGAGTGTGTAACTTATGTCTAGTTTTTGTATGAAAATACCATAGAAAAACTAGAATGATCAGCATTAGCTTGATGGGCAAAGGCACTTAGGCAGCCCAACAACACCTAAAAAGTGATGATTTTGAAGTTCCTTCTGTAGCATAAAAGGACTTATCTACTAGGCCGCTGTCTATGCTGATTTTTACAGACCACCTTGCATCTATAAATTATTTTTGTGTTTTATGGCTGTTATCAAGTCATTTTAGAAAAACTTGCCAATTAGTCCATATGGGCACACAATGTGCAAACATTACAAACTGTGGGCATAAACCTGTGTGGGTCCCATGCATTTATATACTTATATATCTAATGTGGTACATGGGCTCCTAATATGATTATGCAAACGGCGGGGACTTGTTGCAGATAACCGTATAAGGCACATCCCAGTGATTAATGACTCGGGAATGGTGGGGATGGTGTCGATCGGAGATGTTGTTCGTGCAGTAGTGAGTGAGCATAGGAATGAGCTGAACAGGCTGAATGAATTCATTCAAGGAGGCTACTAGTTGCTGTTGATGATGACGATAATCAATCCATGCTGCGTAATAAACTGACCATGAGATACAAATAAGGCTGTGATGTTTGCAACTCAGGTTGAGAACATGTGTGTGTGTAAATAGTGTTCATGTGGTCTTTCGCAGAATGGTGCTGGCTTGCAGATTCAGCCAATTGATCTTTATTAAACTAATGCAATCTGTACTGTATTACATTTTGAACTATATGTTCATTTCCCCTTGTTTTGATTTATAATGCCATTATCATGAGTAGCGATCCTGAATTCGCCGTCCGGCCGAGGCGAATTTTTTGATGATTTTTTTGAGCATGTTCCTCATCAAGTCTAGTTTATCCATACCAAATTTCATCTAAAACTTCAATCGGGAAGGCACTCAAATAAATGTTCTACAAAAACTGCACTTTAAATATACATAAACTGCACAGTTTTGGTAGAGAATTTATTTCACTGCCTTTCCGATTGAATTTTTGGCTGAAATTTGGTATGAACAAACTAGACTTGACGAGGGACATGCTAAAAAAAATTCATCAAAAAAATCCACCGGAAAGGGCCTCTCTGATGGCCTCGGCCTGACGGCGGTTCCCGTCAGGCCGGCCTGATATGATCTGTCCTCAAATATAGTATCAGCAATTGAATGTCCAACATATCACCAATGAGTTCTACTTTGAAATGAACAAGAAGAATTTTCTTTCAAATATGGCTTTTACAAGAATCTGTAAGATGGCTTAACTTTTATAGAACATGAAACTTTTATTGGATTCAAGATTTTGAACCACGTAGCCTAAAACTGTTCAATATCCTATGCTTCATTCTTACATTTGTATGTGTTGTGCTACTTTTGAGCTCATAGCTATTAGGTTGCACTCGATTCTCTTAAATACATAAACCATAAAGTTTATCAAGTTCATATATTATATCACAAAACAACATATATAGTATGGGAATTATTTAAGCACTAGTTGTATTGGGCATTTGGGCATAATCCATTTGTATAGAACTCTAATATCCTAATTAGTCATTATTATAGCTATATACGATACGATAGTATAAGTTATAGAAAACAGTCAAAACACTAGTTGTATTAGACATAATGTTTGATATCGTAGAGACTCTAGTTGTACTTACCATAGCTCATCTTGTATAGGAAACTCTAATTAGAGCTACAAGCATAAATATCTATAGAGTGCTTGATATTTGCGAAACCTTAGTTTTATTGAACATAACACATCCTGTATAGGAAATCACAATTATAGTTTTTTAATGGAAATCGTTTATATTGAATTTTATAAATCACTTTCATTACAATAGATTCAAGGTAATACAGTTCCCAAACAGAATTTCGATGATTAGACTTAGACTCAGCCACCCATAAACGAATTGGAAAAGTCGTTAACCATGTAACAAACAAATGAAAGCTTAAATTAATCACGTACGATCTTTATGTTCCTAACCTTATATGAAAACCCCACAACTTCTCTAAAAAGACAAAACAAATGAACAACAAATAACAATACAAAGTGCATAAATAAGCGGAGTTTTAAATACGGTTGAAACTAGTAATCAATGTCCAATCATGTAGCACTCTTCTCCAGCCTGATTCATCTGAACTTGCAAATATGTCGCATATGACAGAATACCAATGACTTTAATTCCGATCTGAAGTGCACCAACATGATAAAAATATAGAATCACATTTTCAATCAATGGTGGTGGTTTAGAAGGGATACTAGCCATAGATACTATCATAGGCAATTTGAGAAAAACTACGACCTTCGAAAAACATATATCTAGGCTTGGAAGAGTGCCTCCTCAATAGCAATTGAACAATAGCATAACATCATATAGCAACTCACACCGCTATTTTGAATAGACATCATTTATACAATGAGTATAAAAAATTACAGGACTAAAAACCTTAGACACATTAGGAAACAAATCACCGCTCATACGAGCTCCAAACCACTTTTAGACATTTTAAGCAACGAAAAGATGAAAGTAACACTTCAAGAAGATTTACGTTAATGGCAACGATAGGATTTTTTGTCGCCCCATGATTGCCGGAGAATACTTGAAAATCGTTTCTCGCAAGTCGGCCCTAATTATAGTCATAAATAAAACTATTTATATAGTGTTTAATATAAAAATCATTACATTAAAACGGTTCATGTCATCGTATGTTCACATAAAATACAAAAGAATGTCGATATACTCCGTATTATGTACTACATGCATTTTGTTATTTTTTTTTTTGTAATTGGTCATTTAAACATGTCTTTTTTTACCTGAATGGACCTGTATCATATCCCAAGTCCGCCCATGTTTTAACTGGAAGTGCCGGTGGACAAATTTGTATGTACAGACTTGCCCATTTATAAGGGCATAGCCCCAGCCCAGCCCAGCCCGTTTTTGTACAGATATACATACAGAGGCTCTTATTCATTTTGAACATATAAATACAGGGCGGAAAATATCAGGCCCAGCCCTCCCCTGTCCAGCCGCCGTCCGAACTCCGCCGTTTGGGGTAGTTCCCGGTGGAATTTTTCGATGAAATTTTTTGAGCACGTTCTTCATCAAGTCTAGTTTGTCCATACCAAATTTCAGATCAAAATTCAATCGGGAAGACATTGAAATCATTTTTTTAAGTTGACTGCGTTTTTATATGTATATTTTGGCGCAGTCAACTTCAAAAATTGATTTGAATGCCTTTCCGGTCGAATTTTGAACTAAAATTTGGTATAGACAAACTATTTGTGAGGAATATGCTCAAAAAATTCCACAGGAACCGCCCCAAACGGCAGAGTTAGGACGGCGCATCCCGTCCCTCCCGCTGGACTTGATCAATTCTCAAATATAGGGATCCCTATATAAATATAAGATACTCCGTAGTATGTAGCATTTGGCTCCCCCTAAACAAAACACATCCACCATCTCATTCTTTCCCGCGTAAACTAGCTTGGCATTCCTCATCAGCCGAAGCTCATCTAGCCCACGCTCTCACTGCGCAGCGGTTCTCCCGCACATCTCTCAAGGCCAAAGGTAGTAACTTTAAGTGAATGAATTTGGTAAATATTTGGAAATTTTAGAACTCATCTGCTAGATTTGTAACCGCCTTATTGTTTTCGCCTGGTTGCTTTAGGGTGTTTGGAATTATCAGAAGCTTAAAAGCAATTTTAAGAATTAGATCCAAACACCTTTAGGGTTGGTTTGCAACTGCTTTTAAAAAAGCACTTCTCAGCTTTTTGTTTTAAAAAACACTTATTTTCTCAAACACTACAACTTTTATTTTTCTCGGCTTTCGTGTCAAAAGTGCTTTTACTTTTTTTATTACACAAAAAGCACTTATTTTACCAAACACTACCCACTTTTACTTTTCAAAATCACTTTTTTCTCAAACATTATCAACTTTTATTTAATCACTTCTCCCCATTTCATTAAAAAAACACTTTTTTAAAAGCAGAAGCTGTTTCAAACATACCTTATTCCGAAATGCTTAATCTGCTCGTATTTTTTAGATTAGGGTGACTGAATCACAGGTCCATGTCATTTTCATCTTTAATATGGAATGTTGTTCTTGCTCTCTGAGACTCCATAATTATCCAAGGGCAGATTGCGTTGTTTAACTGGTGCTTCCCTGAAGCATGTTTTGCGTGTTTTTTGCGGGATTACTTGCATAGTTTCTTTTTATTCCAAAATTAGATGGAGTATCGTCTGCTTTTCGTAAATTAGGAATTCTTAAATTGGAATCTGCTTATAAACGCATGACTTAGTTGTAGTCTGTAGAAAGAACTTATATACTAGAACTTGTTTAGCTCTTACCAATTAATTAGTTTTGGTTTAATTTTCAGCAGTTAATGAAATAGACTTGTGATGAAAAAGGCCTCACTAAATATGGAGAAGCATCCTAAACTTGTGCAATCTCATGGAAGTGACAACTATGAATCGGGTGATATAGATGCAAACAAGTGTATCCGCAAGAAGAAAGGGCCAAGGCAAGAAGAAGGTCCAATTTATGCTAAAAAACTCAAGAAACCTAAACAAGCCAAAAGTGAAGAAGAATTTTTTATTCACGAGTCTTGTAAGAAGGAATCAAGAGATAAAGTTTGTGAAGCTATATCCCAGTGGGTATGTGATGCATCTATTCCATTTGACGCTGTTAATTATGCTAGCTTTAGAACAATGATGGATTCTATGGGAAGATGTGGTGTGAGTATAAAACCACCTAGTTATCGTGAGATGTGGGGTCCTCTTTTGAGTAAGGAAGCTAATGATATGTTAGATTTGATTGATTCTCCTGAAGAAGATTGGGCCAGATATGGTTGCTCTCTTCGGGTAGATGAACGGACATATCAGGATGAAAGAACTATTGTTAATTTCTTGGTCAGTTCACCTAAAGGAACACATTTTCTTCAATCTGTTGATGCCTCCGATCTTTCAAAATATGGAGAGGCAATGTTTCACTTGATCGATTTCTTTATAGAGCGCATTGGGGAAACAAAAGTTATTCAAGTGGTTACTGATGATGCTACTAGCAATGTACTTGCTGGTATGAGATCTTCTTTTTAAAATACTAGCTTGCTTGCCCCTGTTTTTACTTTTTGATAAAATCATGATCTATGTCATGTTTTAATATTCTCAAGAATAAGATAGTCTCTTCCAAAGAGCTCTTAATCCTCCACATTACCTGAGAGCTCTTTTGGAGTTCAAGAACATCCCACCTGATCCTTAACATGGTTCAAAGCCAGTTCAGCTGGTAGCCACGTTGCACTATACAAGGTTTTTCGACCGTGATGGCGTGTTGAGCGGTGTCATGTATTTGCTGACTATGAAATATTCAATTCTTTAATAAGCATTGAACAATTCTTAATATGCGTAGCCATATTCTTAACAGATACGGTATTTCTTTTGCTTTGTTTTTTTAGGAAAGCTATTAGAAGAAAAAAGGCCGCACTTATGTTGGACCCCCTGTGTTGGTCATTCTATCAATTTGATGTTAAAAGACATTGTAAAATTGCCCGAATTTGTTAGGACATTAAAGCGGGCCATGAGATTGAACGCATATGTTTACTATCGTCCATTTTTAACAAATTTATTGAAGCGTCACTGTGGTAAAACAACTCTTGTCTGAGGTGGTGTGACAAGATTTGCTACTATTTATCTCACTCTCTGGCGTATACATAAACTGAAGAATAAGTTGAGGCAAATGTTCCTATCAGATGATTGGAGAAACAGTAAGTGGAAAAAAGAACGCGTTGGCAAGAAATTAGCTGTTAGGGATTGGGCCTAATGGACTGTTAGGGATTGGGCCTAATAAACTTAGAATAATAACAAGTGTAATAGTTAGTATAAATAGACTAAATTGGGGAGAAGTCAGGTAGGCTGTTTTAGACTTGTGTCTTGGGACTTTGGGAGATCGAGAACTTTCTCTTTCTTTTGGGGGGCTTCGGCTCATTGGGGGCTTCGGCCATAGTTTGTTTCTTGTTACAGATTCTTGTTCAACGATAATAAAGTTTGATTGTTTTTCTTGATACTCTTCTACACTTTCTTCTTGTAATTGTGTGATTTCTGGAGATCTCTATCATTGGTATCAGAGACTGTCGATTCTGTGAATGGTTGGAACGCGGAAAAAGATGGAGGGACGAATCACAGAGATTGAAAGAAATCAGAGGGAATCAGATACGAAGTATGATGAGATGTTAGCGATGTTGACGGCAATGAAGGCTGGCATCGCTGAACTCCAAAACAGGAATTCCGATCGATCCAGAAGTAGATCGCACCATTCTACTTCTTCGCATCGTACAACTCACCGTAGACATACGAGGAATCATGAAAGCTCTGAAGGTTCGGATAACAATTCCGATCATTCTGCCTCGCTTCATGGTCGCGAACGACACAGGCATCACAGAAACCAACATCCGGCTGGGAGGAAAATTGATTTGCCAATTTTCAATGGAGAGGACGCCTGTGGATGGTTAGTAAGAATGAACCGGTATTTCTGATTGAACCATACAGACGAAGAAGACAAAATAGATGTCGCAGTTGTTGCCCTAGAAGATCAAGGTCTGAGCTGGTTTCAATGGTGTGAAAGACAAGCTCAACATCAGACCTGGGAGGCATTTACTGCTGCCTTATCCAAACGATTCCAACCAGAATTGGTGCAAGATCCTTTGGGACCTTTACTCAGTTTGAAGCAAAAAGGAACGGTGACGGAGTATAGGGATAAATTTGAGACTGCCATTGCTTCACAGGGCCACTTAACTGAAGAAGTTTTGAGAGGGGTTTTTGTTAAGGGTTTACAGCGTCATATAAGGGCAGAACTGAAGTTGTATCGCACCAGAACTTTGGCAGATGTGATGGATACAGCTTCCTTGATAGAGAAAAAGAATTCTGAAGCCTTATATGTGAAGAATAAAGAGGAAGGAAAGAGGAAAGGGCAGAATAAACCTATCGTCCAGTCTTCAGGACAGAAATGGGAGGATGAAAGCAGGTGGAAAAGCCATCCTTACACTTCTGTTAGTGTGGGCAAATATTCAGGGGATTCTAAGAGCAATGAAGATAATAAGGGCTGAAATTTCAGAAAGGAAGGTCCCAGTTGTGTGTCTAAGAATACAAGTCCCAGGTTATCCCAAGAAGAACTAATGGACAGAAGCAAGAAAGGACTCTGTTTTAAATGTGGTGAAAACTGGAATCGGGGTCACGTTTGTAGAATGAAAAATTTTAAGATGATGCTAGTAGAACAATCCGAAGGGGAGGAGGAATCTGATACTGACTGTAATAGAAGTAAGGGAGAAGAAGGAATACATATGGAAGTTAAGACTATGCAATTATCTGTACTGAACAAAGAAGGAACACCACCCATGAGAACATTCAAGGTTCTGGGAGATTTGAAATGGCTGACTGAGGAAAAGAAGGTGAATATTTTAATTGATAGTGGTGCTACCCACAACTTTATTTCCCAGCAACTGGTAGAAAGATGGAAGATACCTTTCCAAAGTATCAAGGCATATATGGTACAAATAGGCAATGGAGAATTGATTCCTAACTGCGGTAGATGTGAAGGAATGAAGTTGAATGTACAGGGAAATGAAATTCAACAGAATTTTTATATGTTGGAGCTTGGTGGGACTGACATGGTGCTAGGATTGGAATGGTTGACTGATCTAGGTGTTATGGAAGTTAATTTCCAAAACCAGATCATAAAATGGAAGAAACAAGGGCTGAATCATGTTATTCAAGGTGATGGGTATTGGTTGTACTGTGAAGGACAAAGCACAAAGCAGAAGCAAGAACAGATAATTGAAGGCAGAAGGAACAAGATTACAAAGGAGTATACTGAAATTTTCAAGTCAATTCTGGATAAAATATCATGGCAGTTGTGTAATTCGGCTGTGAAATACATTGGAAAAAAGATGGAATCAGCCAAGCTAACGGTCCAGAAATCATGCCAGTATTGGAAAGGAAGAAGTGCTAGGATGAAAGAAAAGATAAAGATTGGGGCTGTGTCCTATCACCCACCTTGAGGGCAAGGTGGATGTTTAGGGGGGGAGTATTGTTAGGGATTGGGCCTAATGGACTGTTAGGGATTGGGCCTAATAAACCTAGAATAATAACAAGTGTAATAGTTAGTATAAATAGACTAAATTGGGGAGAAGTCAGGTAGGCTGTTTTAGACTTGTGTCTTGGGACTTTGGGAGATCGAGAACTTTCTCTTTCTTTTGGGGGGCTTCGGCTCATTGGGGGCTTCGGCCATAGTTTGTTTCTTGTTACAGATTCTTGTTCAACGATAATAAAGTTTGATTGTTTTTCTTGATACTCTTCTACACTTTCTTCTTGTAATTGTGTGATTTCTGGAGATCTCTATCATTGGTATCAGAGACTGTCGATTCTGTGAATGGTTGGAACGCGGAAAAAGATGGAGGGACGAATCACAGAGATTGAAAGAAATCAGAGGGAATCAGATACGAAGTATGATGAGATGTTAGCGATGTTGACGGCAATGAAGGCTGGCATCGCTGAACTCCAAAACAGGAATTCCGATCGATCCAGAAGTAGATCGCACCATTCTACTTCTTCGCATCGTACAACTCACCGTAGACATACGAGGAATCATGAAAGCTCTGAAGGTTCGGATAACAATTCCGATCATTCTGCCTCGCTTCATGGTCGCGAACGACACAGGCATCACAGAAACCAACATCCGGCTGGGAGGAAAATTGATTTGCCAATTTTCAATGGAGAGGACGCCTGTGGATGGTTAGTAAGAATGAACCCGTATTTCTGATTGAACCATACAGACGAAGAAGACAAAATAGATGTCGCAGTTGTTGCCCTAGAAGATCAAGGTCTGAGCTGGTTTCAATGGTGTGAAAGACAAGCTCAACATCAGACCTGGGAGGCATTTACTGCTGCCTTATCCAAACGATTCCAACCAGAATTGGTGCAAGATCCTTTGGGACCTTTACTCAGTTTGAAGCAAAAAGGAACGGTGACGGAGTATAGGGATAAATTTGAGACTGCCATTGCTTCACAGGGCCACTTAACTGAAGAAGTTTTGAGAGGGGTTTTTGTTAAGGGTTTACAGCGTCATATAAGGGCAGAACTGAAGTTGTATCGCACCAGAACTTTGGCAGATGTGATGGATACAGCTTCCTTGATAGAGAAAAAGAATTCTGAAGCCTTATATGTGAAGAATAAAGAGGAAGGAAAGAGGAAAGGGCAGAATAAACCTATCGTCCAGTCTTCAGGACAGAAATGGGAGGATGAAAGCAGGTGGAAAAGCCATCCTTACACTTCTGTTAGTGTGGGCAAATATTCAGGGGATTCTAAGAGCAATGAAGATAATAAGGGCTGAAATTTCAGAAAGGAAGGTCCCAGTTGTGTGTCTAAGAATACAAGTCCCAGGTTATCCCAAGAAGAACTAATGGACAGAAGCAAGAAAGGACTCTGTTTTAAATGTGGTGAAAACTGGAATCGGGGTCACGTTTGTAGAATGAAAAATTTTAAGATGATGCTAGTAGAACAATCCGAAGGGGAGGAGGAATCTGATACTGACTGTAATAGAAGTAAGGGAGAAGAAGGAATACATATGGAAGTTAAGACTATGCAATTATCTGTACTGAACAAAGAAGGAACACCACCCATGAGAACATTCAAGGTTCTGGGAGATTTGAAATGGCTGACTGAGGAAAAGAAGGTGAATATTTTAATTGATAGTGGTGCTACCCACAACTTTATTTCCCAGCAACTGGTAGAAAGATGGAAGATACCTTTCCAAAGTATCAAGGCATATATGGTACAAATAGGCAATGGAGAATTGATTCCTAACTGCGGTAGATGTGAAGGAATGAAGTTGAATGTACAGGGAAATGAAATTCAACAGAATTTTTATATGTTGGAGCTTGGTGGGACTGACATGGTGCTAGGATTGGAATGGTTGACTGATCTAGGTGTTATGGAAGTTAATTTCCAAAACCAGATCATAAAATGGAAGAAACAAGGGCTGAATCATGTTATTCAAGGTGATGGGTATTGGTTGTACTGTGAAGG